CTATAAGCTTTGGTGGGAGTTTTGTAATCGTATAAAGATTCACCCTTTTCAAGCTAAGGTTGCGGAAGTATTAACTTTTCTCCAATCAATCTTAGATAATAAAGGATGCGTTTATGGCTCAATTAATTCCCATAGAGCTGCTTTATCATTAATACTTCCGGGAGACTTAGGGAATGATTTGATATTAAAACGATTTATGAAAGGTGTTTTAAGACTAAGGCCACCAAAACCTAGGTACACTTTACCGCGGGATCCTAAAAGAGTTCTGGACTATTTCAAAAACAACCCTGCAGATTCCTTAAGAAGCTTATCATTTAAGTTAGTAACCCTTTTGATCCTGGCTACCGGCCAAAGGTTACAAACGATATCTCTCATTAAACTAAAAAATATACTACCGTATGATGACGGTGGTGTTCAAATTTTAATTGAAGATCGGATTAAGACATCCAACATAAATATTAATCAACCTTGCTTAATGATTCCAAAATTTAATGAATTTCCCGAATTGTGCGTGGTTTCTTGTTTACAGAAATATATCCAGGAGACTGAAAAAGTAAGGAAGGATAATGACGACTATCTCTTTATAACCTTCCTTAGAAACCACACCGTATCGCCTCTAAACAAACGTTAAGTCGATGGGTTTAAAAAGTACCCTAAATTCTGTCTGGGGGTAGATACGAATATTTTTAAACCTCATTCAAGTCGTCATGCTTCTACTTCCGCTGCTAGGAGAGCGGGTGTCTCAATTCGATTTAATTAAAGGATTCTGCAGGTTGGAGTAAAACTCGTCAACTTTGCTAGATTCTACAACCGTCCCCTTTGTAAATCACGATAAGTTTGCTTTAAGCATTTTGAAATCATAAAATGGTTAAGTATAATATAGGGAGGCAATTTTTGACGATTATATATATACATATATATATATAGAGTATATATATATATATATATATATATATATATATATATATATATGTTGTTATATATATATATATATATATATATATATATATATATATATATATATATATATATTCTTTTAAATTTCATTTTCGTTTTACAATTTCATTTTTCTTACTTTTATAATGTTATGTTATATCCTTATATATTTTAATATTCTAATACACATATTTTGTTTACTGTGAATCATTAATAATGTCGTCAAGTTGACAGAATAAATTGTATTTTTGTTTGACTAATTCATAAATAAATATGTTGAAAAAGGGTATTTAATTTTCAATTCATATTCCTAGGAAACTTTAAACATCTACATGGTGAATAATTAACATCTTTGGACTGGATGCCGAAATATAATTTAACGATCAAAAGAACTTACCTGAAGTTCGATCGAAATTATATGAGGCATCCAGTCCAAAGATGTTAAGTCCCACCCTACCCTCCCAAGCGGATATAAATTGAAAATAACTGTATTTAAACTTAATGACCATATAGGACTGAGCGGACGACATCCAGAGATACCAAAAGGTGGGGAGGAAAATTGTCTTTAAAATATTGTGGCGCGTAGTACGAATTGGCCGACTACATGGTGAAATAATTAACATCTTTGGACTGGATGCCTCATATAATTTCGATCGAACTTCAGGTAAGTTCTTTTGATCGTTAAATTATTTTTCTAGAATAAAGTAACAGGCGACATACAAAAAATAACAGAAACTACAGCTTGCTCGACAGTTTGCCTCTCAATATTCCGTGGACCGCAAATAAATTCATTGGTCACAATTTACCTCTCTACAAAAGTACTTCGTTTGTCCGTTAGATGGCTTCAAGTTTTAAAAAAATAAACACATTTTTAAGATATTTTAAGCAACATTATTCCGGTTTGAATGAGATTTGAGATTCCTATGTGTTGCTAAGTGCTTTAATATTTGACTTTCACAGAAATCAAGAAAAAGTGCAGGAAGGGTGAAAACTATTCCCACCCCTACATAAATTTTAATAAAAATATTTTCCAACTCCACCGTAAAATGTTCCTCCTAGTATTTAATACTTTTTTTTCTTTTAAAAAAACGCTACCGCGTATACTTTTTTGAGGAAAAAAAAATGTTTATCCGAAGGTGACTTACAAAAAATGTTTCTTTTCACATCAAGCTACGTAGGCGCATAAAATTTAGTATGAGCTCATAATCTAGTTGGCGAAAATGATGAAATGAGATTTTATATTAGTAGTATCACAAAATATCTTAAAAATGTGTTTATTTTTTCAAAGTTTGATGCCTTCTAACGGACAAACGAAGCACTTTTGTATAGAAGTAAATTGTGTCCAATGAACCTTATTTTGATTCCAAACATACGTAGTAGTTCTATGTCTATGTCGAGGTCTATGTCTATGATTTCTTTATTAGTCTCTGTTTAAACATTGATAAACATCTATAATAAGCCTGATAAATGCAAACTTATTTGTTCGTTTTAAAATAACTATAAAATATACGCAAATATAGATGCAAAACAGTGGATCGTACGAAATGATATGTGCTATAAAACCTATTGTTTACTGTTTAATTAAATTTTTGACAAATATTGACACTTTTATTTAATAATAAATAATCCGCTAATGTTATAAAAGACTTGTTATTTTAGAAATATTTACTGTTTTTTATTGCTTTAACATATTTCAAAAATTAATATTCATCTTTTATTTTTTTAATTATGTATACAGGATGTAAATTAATAAGTGCGAAAGAATTCTGGAATATAATTCCTTTAACTATAATAATTAACCTATTGATATTATTTGTTTGGTGAACATATTTCTATGTGTTACTGTAAAAGCCAGAAATTACCGAATATCAAAAATTACTAGTAAATGCTCACATTTACTGATTTACTTACACTACGCCAGTAAATGTTCAAAAACTAATTATGAAACTTTATAATAAATACCAATTATAAAACTGAAAAAAGTGAATTTCAGTAATCACTGGAGCTACACAAAGAGGTTTTAGGAAATTCATCCCTCTTAGAGTAAAATTATGTCGGAATAGTTTGTTGTATGAAAATTCCCTACTATTTGGTCTAGAAGAATGAAAAACCTACAAAAGAATTAGGAAGAAATTCCTTTGAAAACTGGTCAACCAAATGGGTAAAAGTTAGTAAAATTTATATAAAAAAAAAAAAAAAAAAAAAAATATACATAAAAATTGGCACAAAGATAAAAAAGGAATTTAAGGAAATTTATACAGAGTTTTTCAAAAAACAAAATAAAAAAAAAAAAAAAAAAAAAATTATAACATTATAAAACCAGAGTTATGCTACAAAAATTTTATACAAGGAGCTTTTTAGTGACATCATGACGAAATATATCTTCCCCAATTATCCTTCAAAGAATAGAAAATAACCTGGCAAAGAGAGCATTAGTGCTTTTGCACAAAATAAAAAAAAAGATGAAAATAAAAAAACATTTTTTTTTTTAATAAAATATTCAAAGAGCAAAGTAAAAATCATTTAAAACAATGCATGAACGATTCGAGGTGTAATGCGAACGCAGTCGCGGGAAAAAACTAGTAATTTATTAAATTATTTTATTTTGAACTGATTAATTTTCATTGAAAAGGAATTTTGTAATTCGCCACTATTAGTTAAAAACTAAGAACCTCATATCAAATTTAAGTCTTAGTGATTTTGATCTCTATATAATTTCTTTTAAAAAATCTGAACATACCTTTAAAAGAAAAAGCTTTGATACATTTGTGTAGACTGACTACAAGTTGTATAACATAAATTTCTACGACCGATCTACCTAGTGGTCTGCAGCATCGCTTTGTAGTGCAAACGTGGGCCTCTTAATCTGTGACGTGACGCCAAGAAAAACAGAAGCGCGGCTGAATTTAGTAGTAATTTAAAAAAATGCCCTTTAGATACAGCAGTAGGTAATAAAAGTTTTGTGTTTAAATGTAGTTTGCCTTTCAAAGTTAAAAATTATATCGTAAAGTGTAACTTCCCGTAAGAATTCTTTATCTGATCATGATCTGTCATCGATCATGACCCACCAATAAGTGTTAACCTTGATGTTTGCTACATTTGCTTTTGTTTGTTTTAAGTTTTATGGACAGGTATGATCGCATCACATTATTACTGATAATGTTCGGTTTCACGTTAATAATACTCACTTTTCAGGAATCTTTAAATCCATGTTTTTGTTGGTGTCTGTATTTAAAACAAACATATGTATGTAATACACTCATATTAACACTAATCATATTTTTACGTTTTTATTCATCATTTTCAATGCCACCCCGGTTGCATCTTTGTAAAGGACTGTGAATTTTTTGTCATTAATAGAATGTGAGTTTTTCTGTATTTCGATCATTTCACGGAATTCCCTTTTCTTTTGGCTTACTTCTGTTAATAATATTTTGGTCTCGTCAAAATTAAAAGAGTGCTTTTCCTTCAGTTCATGGTTTGTTAGGGCGGTTTGATTTTTTTTGTCATATTTGTGCCCTTTTATCCTGTTTTCTAGGTGTTGGCTAGTTTGTCCAATATATACAGAATCGCAATCATTACATGGAATCTGATAAACGATGTTATTTTTTTATGTTTTTTGGTATTTTAGTTTTTAACTTGCTAAAGATTTGTCCTATTACATTGTTTCCTCGATGACATAGAGTTATGTTATGTTGTTTGAATACATTACTTAGTTGGTGTGACAATCCACTGATGTATGGCAAAGATATGAATTTATTTTTTTGGCTTTATTTTTGTTTATAATATTCCCGGAGTTGTAAAATTTATTAATTCTATTTTTAAAAATGTTTTCTATAAGTTTATTTGGGTAATTGTTTTTCTCTAAAGCTGTTTTCGCTTTGTTTATAGCATTTTTTCTATACTCGGGATCGGATAAACTTATTGCTCGGTCTGCTAAGCCTATTACAACAGATTTTTTTTGTGACATGGAATGGTTTGAATTGAAATTTAGATATCTTGAAGACCATGTCTCTTTTGTGAACCATTCTGTCATTAGGATTCCATTTTTATGGTGAATTGTCATGTCTAAAAAGTTGATCTTTGATTCGACCTCTACTTCCATTGTAAATTTGATGTGCTCTTGTAATCTCTTGGAAGATTTACTGAACGACAAAAAAATTTACAAACAAATCAAGAGAGACCCAACAAATATTTACCAAAAAAACAACAACGATATTGTCGGAAAATGGGAAAATAATCAATATATACCTACAGAAACAGCAAAACGATTAATGATTAGAAATGCAATACCTCCAAAAATGTACGGGTTGCCTAAATTGCATAAAGTTCCTCTACGTCCTCTTGTGTCATGCGTGCAATCTCCGTTTGAGAAATTATCGAAGTACCTAAAGGATATATTAAGTAACATTGCATATAAAAACGAATATTATTTAAAGGACTCGCAACATTTCAAACAAAAACTTAAAAATCTCAAAATACCAAACGGTTACAAGCTAATATCCCTGGATGTTGCTTCACTGTACACTAGCATTCCTATCGATTTGGCCTCACAAATAATAAGAAAAAAATGGGATCAAATAAAAAAATACACTGACATCCCACAGGATGAGTTCATTAAAGGGGTCGAAACAACATTGAAATCTACGTATTTTACTTACGATAATAAAATATACCAACAAATAGATGGCTGCGCTATGGGTGCGTCAATTTCCAGCGTTGTGGCTCAGATAGTAATGGAGGATTTAGAAGAAAGTGTATTGGAAAAACTAGATATTCGTATTCCGTTCTTTTTCAGATATGTTGATAATTGTTTAACGGCCATACCAACAGATTATATGGACAGAATTCTAGATAAATTTAACGAATACAATAGCAACATCAAATTTACAATAGAAGTAGAGGTCGAATCAAAGATCAACTTTTTAGACGTGACAATTCACAATAAAAATGGAATCCTAAGGACAAAATGGTTCACAAAAGAGACATGGTCTTCAAGATATCTAAATTTCAATTCAAACCATCCCATGTCACAGAAAAAATCTGTTGTAATAGGCTTAGCAGACCGAGCAATAAGTTTATCCGATCCCGAGTATAGAAAAAATGCTACAAACAAAGCGAAAAGCTTTAGAGAAAAACAATTACCCAAATAAACTTATAGAAAACATTTTTAAAAATAGAATTAATAAATTTTACAACTCCGGGAACATTATAAACAAAAATAAAGCCAAAAAAAATAAATTCATATCTATGCGATACATCAGTGGATTGTCACACCAACTAAGTAATGTATTCAAACAACATAAAATAACTCTATGTCATCGAGGTAACAATGTAATAAGATAAATCTTTAGCAAATTAAAAACTAAAACACCAAAAAACAAAAAAAAAGTAACATCGTTTATCAGATTCCATGTAATGATTGCGATTCTGTATATATTGGACAAACTAGCCCATACCTAGAAAACAGGATAAAAGGGCACAAATATGACAAAAAAAATCAAAGCGCCCTAACAAACCATGAACTGAAGGAAAAGCACTCTTTTAATTTTGACGAGACCAAAATATTATTAACAGAAGTAAGCCAAAAGAAAAGGGAATTCCGTGAAATGATGGAAATGCAGAAAAACTCACATTTTATTAATGACAAAAAAGACGTTCAATATCTAAACAAGCTGTATATTTCAATATTATGATATTTATTTTAGAGTCTGACATGTACTAGTAATGTGGTTGTTTGTTTTTTAATATGTTATGTGTAATACTTAATTAAATTTTTATAATGATTTTATATTGTTATGTGTATATGTATTTGGTAAGTTTTTTTTAGAGTGTTATTTAATTGTATATTTAAAATTGAATTATGTTTCTAGATAATAATTATAATTTTCTGAAGAAGACCTAAGAATGGTTGAAACGTACGTGAGAAATAAAAACAACTTTTAATTATTATGTTTTAAATTGCTGGCCTAAAACCAAGAATAAATCCCAACTATCTTAATTATTAGATATTAATACATCTGGTATTATGGTATTCTGATATTTCGTTGATATTAAAATAAACTAACTGTTTCTATCTTATCTTTTTGTTAAAATGGGCATAATATATAGGGCTACTGATACCATGTTATAAAAATAAGATAGTTAGGGGCAAATTTTGTAAAAAAAAGATGCAGTTTTCACTGACTTCTTAAACTTTTATTTCTCTGTACAATCAGCTGAAATTACATATACCGTTATATTTAATTTTTTTGGGAAATCCCGCAATTGTTTGTTAAATTGTAAGACAGCGCCCTCTAGCGTCTACTGTTAAAGGCATATTATTATTGTTTATATGGCTTTATATAGAGTACGAAACGCTCTTTCAAACGAGCCCTCACTTGTTAGATTCTCGTCATCTAGTCCGGAGTTATTAACATTTAAATAAAAACAGATCTAACCTTCCCCCACCACTTTATTTTAGTAGATACGGAAAAATGGTTCTAACAAAAAAAGTCCGAAATTTTCTTAAGATTATGAAGCAGATTTATTTCAGATCAGCAGCAAGATTATTCATAGTAGCTCTTATCTAGGCAGAATTTTGAAAAATTGCATTTTCTTATTTGCCATAGCAGTTGCGCCCTCTAGCGGCCACTCTACAAACTTGAAAACAATTTCCAGCAATTTCTCATGGCCTCTTTAGTTATAAATATTTTTTTCCTCAGGTTCTACGGCCAATACTTTCCGAGATACAGCCAAGAGCTATTCTTAGTGGGACACCCGGTACATATCGTTAAAAATATCTACCGTGATTCTAACGTAATATCAGGTAATATATTGATATACGATTTTATAATTTTTTGAGTTTGTGAGTTTTAAATAAATGGAAATGTTTTCAGGACTGGTAGATCTTGATAAGAGAAACATATTTTCTCTTTACCATTGTTCAAATAAGTCCATAATAACCGAGATATTTTACTTTGAAAATAAAAAAAAAATGATTTTTTGCTCAAATTTTGAGAACCACTGGATCTTTTCTGGATTTAAATTTAATTTCATCTACTATCTATGTTGCCATATTATGAAGATATTATGTTTTTTATATAAAAATTTAAAAAAATTACAAAAAAATTCACAGTCCCTTACAAAGATGCAACCGGGAGGCATTGAAAATGAAGAATAAAAACGTAAAAATATGATTAGTGTTAATATGAGTGTATTACATACATATGTTTATATAACGAACTTAACAAAAAACAACAGATTTAAAGATTCACTGAAAAAGTAGTAATGTTAACATTAAATAAAACATTATCAATAATAATTATGCGATCGCCACCTATCCGTAAAACAAACAAGCAAAAAAACAAAATAACATACAAAGCATCAGGTTAACATGATGACAGATTATGATCGATGACAGATAAAGAATTCTTACGGAAAGTTACACTTTACGATATAATTTTTTAACTGTTAAAGGCAAACCCCATTTAAACACAAAACTTTTTAATACCTACTACTGTATCTAAAAGACATTTTTTTTAAATTACTAAATTCTTAGCCACGCTTCTGTTTTTCTTGGCTGTTGTGCGTCACGTCACAGATTAACAGGCCCATGTTTGCACCACAAGGCGATGCTGCAGACCACTAGGTAGACCGGTCGTAGAAATTTATGTTATACAACTTGTAGTCAATCTACACAAATATTATCAAATAAAAAAAATTGTTTTCTTTTAAAATGTGTTCGTTCAGATTTTGTAAAAAGTATAAGTCAAAATCGCAAAACTTAAATTTGATATGAGTTTTTAGTTTTTAACTAATATAGTGGCGAATTACAAAAATTCCTTTTCAATGAAAATTAATGAGTTAAATAAAATAATTTAATAAATTACTAGCTTTTTCTCGCGACTACGTTCGCGTTACACCTCGAATCGTTCATGCATTGATAAGCTAATTCACTAATGTCGTTTAAACGAACCTTTGTGCTAATATTTATGTATGTAAAGCTGGCGGCATGAACTCACTAAAATATCTAAAAACGTAATATATAATCTAACTGACACACCACTGACAATGACAAATAATTTATTTCTGGAGGTATTGTGTGTAGGTGTTTTTCAGGTATGTTTTAGTATTTAAAAATACTTCATAACAAATCTACACATATATACCTTTCATTTAAAAAAAGAATCATCAAGATTGGTAAAGCGGTTTCGGCGGGATGGATGCAACAAAAAAACCCTTTGAGCTTTTATATATGTATGGATTAATTATTTTTCCAACATATTTTACTTTGCAAATTTTTATAAATATTCAGACTCGCCAATATCGTACTCCACCGTGTCCAGCCTGTTTAGCCAAACGTAGGCCGATTCCTCTTCGGCGGCGTCGTGACCCTGGCCGAAGGAAGAGTCTTGAAGACGCTCATCCGCGCATAGGAATAAGTTGACTGCGTAGCGTATTGCGTATTAATCGATTCTGAAACTTTCTATCTCGTGTATAACATGTTACGCAAGTTTATTATTTTAATCTCGATTTTAATAGATAAATGTGTGAAATGCCACCTGAATATCTTCCGCCATGACATGTTTTTACTTTTTTGTTATGGTAAAGTGATTTGTATAAACTTTATTCAATAACGTATATTTTCCTCCATTTGTGATTTTTTAATTTTAAGCGAAAATTAAGTATAACATTTTAGGAAAAAGAAACACTGTAATATTTAAAAGAATAAGAAGAAATTAGTCTTATTTTGAAAGGAAAATATAGAAAAAACTCTTTCTATAGAAAAAGTCTTTATACTAACCAGAATCCGGTGACATATACGCGGTCTCACCGGAAACATTACTTATTACTTCGCATAACTTGAAGAATATCTACTTTTAATAATGAACACTTCAGAAATACACCAGTAAAAACATTTATTATTTGAGATTAAAACTCGAATTAAATTATAAATATTAGTTACCTATGTTGTTATAGCTTTTATAGGCCTGTTTAACGACTTAATAAGTTACCTAGCGAAAAAATCTGTGCGCGTACCTACCACTATTGTTACAGGTTAATTCGTTAAAGAAATATGTTACACAAGTTAAAAACGCTAAAATTTTAATGGTATTACTTGTGCATTATTGGCCTTATAATGTAATTTGTTGGAATTATATCTTCTTTAAATATAATTAGACTTTTTAACGACTTTTAAGTTACCTAGGAAAAAATCTGTGCACGTACCTACCAGTATTGTTACAGGTTAATTCGTGAAACAAATGTGTTACATATTATTCGTGGTATTAGTGGTATTATATTGGAATCAGCTTGGCATTAGTGGGGCATTATATGAGAAATTTTGGTATTTAATTTGTATTTTTGGCATTACTTTGGCATTAGTATACAGACATTTGTCAGCGGTTTACTCCTTGTAGATAATCAAAAAGTTTTTTGATAAAATTTGCTTTTCATGTCAGATCATTTCTATGAAAAATTACATTAGATTTTTATTAAAGACGCTGGGTAATTAAAACATTGACTAATAAACCTTGTCCACTTTAAATACGGGGTCACGAAATATCCTCCTTGGAGTGTTTGGGTTAAGGGGTGTATAATAAATTAATCGTTGTTTTATAATAAAAACCATAAAACATTTATTTGTGAGTAAAATAATGCAATGGTTGGATATCTCTCCTTTATAATTCGGTGACTAAAAATACACTAAAATAATTAGAAAAAAAATCTTGTACTTATTTAGTAATTACGTCAATATTAATTAATTGACTTTCTAGTCTATTTTATTTTATGTACAAATATATTATTAAATTTTAAGCATTAAGTAATAAAACACTTTGTGCCCTCTTATATCGTAAAAGGTTACGAAATATACTCCTGGTTACACCCCTTACAGAAAACAGTGTAAGGGGTGTAAATAAATTGTATAATCACTGTTTTTTATAATAAAAACTATAAAATATTTCTTATTTGTGAGATTAAAAAAACAAAACAATGCATTGGTTAAAATAAGTACATTCAATACTGTTTTCAATTGTTAATTCAATAATGTGTTATAACATAATATAGCCATTACTATTATACTATTATTATTAAAATAATATGTGTGTAACATATTTCTTTAACGAATTAACCTGTAACAGACATTTATATGCCCAGTATATTTTTGTTT